CCTTACGGCTACACCGGTAGTTTCGAGTACTGTTCAGATATGATGCTAAAGAGCTGTGTCTATTGCATGATGCCACTAACCCCAAAATTCCACTATCTCCACTCCGCTACGCTCCGGCACGAACTCCGCAGCAAAAACGGTCCCTTTGTAGTCAATCAGAGCTGTTCCACTACTGCGGCCGTGTGGCGCACTGCGCCGCCCGCCGTTCCGCCGTCCGGCAAAAATAGGATCGATTCTATTTTTGCCGGACGCCGGAGCACCTCCGCAGTCAATAGACAGAAATCACAACGGCCCAATAGGAAAAGGAGCAAGCACAACTTCCGTTATTTCACAATAAATCGATAAACAAAAGGCGTTTTTTGTTTCATATGCACAGGTTAAACAACTTTTAACAACCATCAATGGTGTCTGAACTTTAAATGCACAAAAGTAAGCCATAAATACAGTTTCTACTATCAAAGTAGTCACACTTTGTTGATCCAAACACGGCTGATCTCTCAACACAAATGATGGGCAGATTAAACAGTTCATTTCGATGCTTCTCCCACACAACGGGTGTTTGGATCTAACTTCCGCGTTTATTGCTCGGACTGTATCGCAAGATCTCAAAAATCCCGCGCATGCCTGTTTGCGCACCTCAGGTCTCCGCACCGGAGCGGAGCCGTTGTAGAGCGGGTACAGTATATAAATTGAGTTCGGAAGCGAGCGGCAGCAGAGGGCAGGGGCGGAGCGGAGTGGAGAAAGTGGAATTTTGGGATGAGGATGACCCGCTGAAGCAATATTTATCACTTGCAGCAAGTCTCTCCCACAATGACTGGTCAGTGCTCAACCTTGCAGTTCCATGGAGGATGTACAGTGGCGATTGAGAGAGAGCCCATACAGCTGCAAAACGCAACAGACCACAGGCTCTCCCATTGGTGGATGAAATCTAGCTTTCAGCGCTTCGTGGGAGGTGCGGGAGGATGTGGATGGCCTGTGGGTTTTCAAGGCCTCAGTCCGCGAGAGAGGACCAGAACTATTTTTTGTGCTGGAAAGCACACATGCCGAATGCGGTATTCACCATCTTTTACAGGTCATCCCTTTTTAGGCCTTAGGTCAAACCTTGCTGCATCTAATCAACACAACAACTTCCTCTCAATAAAGGCTAACAATTCATCAGGGCAGGGCTATTCAATTCCGGGCCTCGAGGGCCGGTATCCAGCATATTTTGGTTTTAACCGTGCTTCAACACAGCAGGTGATCAACAGGCTTCTGCAGAGCCTGATGAGCTTCTGCACAGGTGACTCAACCACTTAATCTAGTGTGTTGGACCAGGGAAACCACTAAAACCTGCTGGATGCCGGCCCTCGAGGCCCAAACATGAATAGCCCTGCATCAAGGGATGGAGAGGCAGGGTGCCCACAGTAGTTTTGGCTCATTAAACAACAACAGACAACTACAGTTCATAAGCTTAACGCTCCCATATTCCAGTCAGAATTGACAAAACTCTTTAGATGAGAAGCGAAACGTCTTCAAGAAACCAAAGAAGTCCAGTTGCCTTCATTTGAACCTTTTTGGATGGTTTAGCAATGTCGATGAGATTTTGGAATATCGGACTGCATCTAAGAACAATTTGAGAAGGCTCTATACGCTGCTCTGTTCACACCAATGGACCACTCTTAAAACCTTGAAATGGAAATGGGAGTTGGACCCGTGTGTTGAACTGTCAAGTTTGGTCTGGCACACGGCTCTAAGGAACACTCGCAAACCATCCATTTGTGTGAGATGCAGAGTTATCTAGTTCTAAGTGATGCACCGTTTCTACTGGTCCAAAGACAGACTGTCCGGAATGAAGCCAGACTTGGACCCAACACGAGAGCGTTACAGATGGTCAGCTGCCCCACTTTTTCACAAGCTCTGGACTGGCCCGAAACTATGTGGATTTTGGAGAAAGGTCTAAGATTGTTCAGTCAATATACCGTGCTCCTGCTACATCCACATGCACACATCATTCCCTTTCCTAATGTCTGGAAGGATGATTCTGAAAGCAGGCTGGTTTTTGGTAATCCGTAGGAAATATCTACAACGTTACACAGAAAGAAGCTAAAGGTCAACAGATATCTTTCTAGATTGTTATCTAGTTGCTTTTGAGAAAGAAAATCACAAAGGGGTCTGAAAAGTTGTTACAATAGTGACAAAGTGGCTAAGTTATCAACACTGCGCTTAATTTGGAGCAATACAAGTGTAAACGGCAAGTGAGAAACAAAAAATCAGATTCTTTTTGTGATTATTCAAAACCCAGATCATGATTAAGATTAAAATGTGATTAATCAACCAGCTTTACTGTATGTACCTGTGAGTGTGTACTTTGGTACTCACCTGTAGGAAACAGCTGGACTGGCTCTGGCCTGACAGCTCAGAGTTATCTTGCCTTCAGTCAGGCCTTCCGGATAAATTAAACTGCTTGGCTCTGCTTCAAACACTGGCCCACGGTCGTGACCTGACACACACACATCTCCCCCTGGAAATACAGTTCATAGATGTGTATTAGGCCTGTGCAGAGTAGAAATCAGGTGTTTATTCCCAGTGTGATATGAATTTTTCTAAAAGATTGGTACAGATGTTCTTCATTGTCAGGGCGGTTGCACCTGTGGCGAAAGGACGGTCAGTGCCTGAAGCCGTTTTAGGAAAATGATTAAAAAGTGGTTATGGCTCATAAGCCTCATTACATTTTGCCCTTTTACTCCTGTAATTAAAGAGGACCTAGAATGTAAACAAACATTTTCCTTATTGTTAGATAAAGACAGCTTGGGTGGTCAAAAGTAGCACGCCAAAAAGTGAAAGCAGTGTGTGACCTACTTTTTATGTAAATTTGAAAGTTGAAAAAGACGAGAAAAACTTCTGTTTCTGAGCAAGCCTTCCTTAACATGTCACAAGGTGGAGTCCTTCCTCCTCAAACCTGCATGTCTCCACCTCCGCCAGTGCTGGCCATTTTAAACCAAACGCACCTGCAGTTGAAACAAAATGCTAGCTCTAGCTACAACAAAGGCCCTACTGTTACTGTTGTTTTGTTGTTTTTAGAAGAAGAATATGTCAGAGAAAACTTGTATTGATAGTAGGAATTTTCACAAGATTCCACAAGAACCAAATTGTCAGCAGGAATGATTGAATCTATATTTGACCATGTGCTACAATACTTCAATCCAAATATGGTGGTTTGCTCAAGTCACTTCATATGGATCTCTCTCAAACCTTGGACAGTACCGTATTGATACAGTAAGTATTGATATTTTTTTAAATATCGATGTAATTTTTAAACAAGATACAAGTTGACTATATCTTTATATCGATATAACTGGTCAAACTGCTATGCTAGCGATTGGCCGCTATGCTAGCGACATGTTGCTCCATCTCTAAGCGGCTATTACGTGTATTCTCATAAGTTTGCTCAATCTGAGAGCCTCTGGGTAAATGTGCTGCTCTAGACTTTGCATTTGGCGTCATGGTTTTTATTTTTTGGGGACTTTCAACTTGTCATGTTCTGTGTCCCCTTCGTCCCCAGCCCCCTCCTGTTCTCCTTTAGGTTCTCCTCATGTGTCTTCTTGTGTTCCCCATCTCCCTCTAGACTTTCCTCATGTTTTCCTCCTAGTCACTCCCTTGTAATTCCCATTTGTTTACATTAGTCCTCCTCACCCCTCTAATTATTAGTTGTTTATTTCTGCACTTAGTTCTAGGTTTAGTTATTTAGTGTCTTATAGGTTATGGTTATCTTGCCCTCTGCTTGGTTCTTCCCTTCCCATTTAGTTAATTGATTCCACCAGTCCTCCCTCTAGACCTCACTCCTCGCGCCTGTCAACTGTTCTCCTGATTGCTTCCCTCTGTGTTAAAAACCCTGTCTTGTCCCTCAGTGTTTGTTGGGTCATTGTCGTATGTGTCTGCGTTGTTCGTTCCCCTCTCGAATTTCTCTGAGTCTGTGCTCATGTGTGAGCTTTTGTTTGGTTTTGAGCATTCAGTGAGTTTTATTTTATTTTTTTGAGATTTAATCTTATTTTTTGTGCTTTGGATTTTGGCACATCCTCCTTTAATAAAGGAATAATTTTCTTTAAACTACTCCTGCCTTGAGTCGTTCTGGTGTTCTGCGTTTTTGGATTAACCTCCTACACTCAACGTGACACAACGCCAACGGAGTTCTGTTTATTCATCCTGCTTGTGCGGAGAGACGAGCCAAACCCCTCCCTCCCTTGTGTAATCAGGAAACATCTACGGATGGCCAGAGTGGCCAAATTACCACAAACGTATTGTAAGATTTTGTATAGTAACGGGTGAGAAATGTTCCAGTTTTTTCCCACTCTGGTTTGCTATGCTAGTAAATACTCCGTTACAAGCAATTCTGTTGAAAAAGTTAAGAGTTTGTAAGGTGTGGGTTACGGCGACAGTAGCCCAAAAATAATACTGATAAAAGAGCAACCACACTGTAAGACCGAATTGTAATAGTTTGATAAAAGAAATAAGTAGCCACTACATAAAAACTCATTATAGGTTCATGAATTTAGGACATTTCCCTCAAATAATTTGCATAAACAATGACGTCACTACGCACGTACGTGCCCTAGGGTTGTCACGATACTAAAATTTCAAACTCGATTCGATACTTGAAAAAAAACTCGGCACTCGATTTCGATACTATTTAAAAACACCCATTTATCGAACAAGTTTATTCAAAAAATAACATTCCTCAATTTATATTACAAAAATTAAATGTTAAGAATTAAGTGTATTAAGTGCTTAAACCTTTCAAGTATCAGCATTTTTTAAAACGTGCATAAAAAACTGGTGAAAGTTAACACTTTAAATCATGAATTGTCTCACTATATATACACTATTTGCAGAGTGATGTTTTGCTGCTTAAACTCTGTTTAAGGTGCATTTTTGTCATAAGATGTAATGCCATATGTTTTGTTCTGTACTTTTGAGCAACTCTGTTGGTCAATAAAGGGAGAAAACGAATTTCTCCACAGTAGGACCAAGGTACATCTACCGGTAATCTTAATAAAAACAGATTGGCGCACGGCAGTGACTTCATTAAAAGCGCCGGTTAGATTAGCCGCAGCTAGTCTGTTTACGCCTAGAAATCCCAGACCAGACCCGCTCCAAACGAACAGGGGAATCACGTTAATGATTCCTAACAAAACCTTTCGACATGAAGATGTTTTGGTGCAGATAATGTCTTATTTCGAGGCTGCACCATGGGTGCCCGTCCGCACCCATTATATGGATATACGCTGATGGCGATTCGCCGATGGACCTACGGTAAATACCCCGGGGAATCCAAGTAGCACCAAAGTTGTCAGCGTGAGTAAACAAACGTACTGCATGCTAGAAATTAAGTCCGGGTTGCAATAAACGGGAGTTTCCTTTAAGCACCTAAGCGTGAATATACAACTACGTGTCGGACTTAGTATGCTAATTAAGTTGGGCTGTGAAGCGCCTCCCAAATTCGCTGTTTATGTTTTTGTTTATTTATTTGGCAGACAAAACTTGGATCGGAGACAACTCGCGTGGGAAATTGCTATGTAGCCATGCGGCGTCTTCTTCTGTTTGTCTGGGAGGCGGAGGCTGCTTTACGGCATCTGGCTGTCGTGCGTGTCGGTGGACTTGAAGAAGGCTGTGTATAATAGTCCATAATATCGATACCACAGGGATGGAATATCTCATTTAGATACCACTTTTAGTATCGATTTATATCTGGGTATCGATTTTTTTGACAACACTAACGTGCCCACATACGTATGCCACCTGTTTCTTCATGAGAGCTGGTTGAAATAGACATCTTGGATTCCTCGCTTCAAGTTCGGATGCCTGCTCCCTACTCCGAAAAACTTTTTCAACAATAATATATAAAGAGATATACAATTCTTGCATGAAAGGATTTTTTTCTGTAGCATTTTTTGTTTATTGCTGGATAGACAAAGGCGTGCCATGGCTTTTTCGGACTTTGGAGTGGATTCAGCAAACAACGCTCTGCTGTGTTGGTCGCCATTGCTGCATTTTAGGAGCTCTTTGGTATGTTTTATTTTTTATGAAAAGTATATTTCTGCCTTGTTGTCTTAAATAAGCAATTGTTGTAGAATAATATATGAAAAGTTATTCAATACTGAAACGTATATGAAAAAAGCACCCCCTTTCTGAATTACCAAGAAATTGGGGGAGGGGAGGTGTTAACACTTTAGTACAGAACAAAATTAAATGCAAAAAAAATTGTGATGGCTTTTAAATGCAAACTTTGCAACCTTATCTTTGAAAAACAGATAAAGGTTGTTTGAACATTATCGGTTACATCATACTCATTCTCAGTCAGTCCTTTGCCATGCCCATATGATTTTTGTATCTGTACATTTCAGTCACTGAATGCTTTAAAACGTCATCTAACACAGACACATTCTAAGAAAGTTGTGTAACTTGAAACTCAAAGTGCAGCATTTCTTTGTTCCCTTTGCGGATTAAATGAACCATTCAATGATAAAAATTTCCTTAGTCACTTAAGGACTCATCTAAAATGGCACGAGACAGCAAGCTGTCCTTTCAAAAATTGTCCCTACCTCACTAATGTGTATTCTTACTTCAATACTCATAGAAGTAGGTGTCATCCTGATGGTGAGATTTCAGAATTTAAGTGTGAAATTATCCTTCAAGAAACTGCCAGCCACCATTTACAGAGTGATGCTGAATGTGAAGATGCTGGTCCTTCAAACTATGACTGTGAACTTGGAAGTCCTTTCTCTAATCTTCCTGAGTCCACTCATGACAGTGGGGAACTGCAAACTCACGCCCATCCATATAGGCATGTGAGTGTGCAAGCTGTTAGATGGGGGTGGGGTGGGCTCGTGTTGGGGTCCTCTAATACCCCGACTTAAATCGGGGATCGTGGTCTTGAATTACCCCCCCAAAAAAAAAACACAACTAGACACAAGGCGCATGCGCACTCGCGTTACGGGCTGTGATTGCATCATCATCATCGTCGTCAACAAACCCACCCCTCAACATCGCATATAAAGGGGCTTGCAGCAAGCAACCATTTCATCCCCGCAGATTCCCCTCTGCCCCACAACCATGGAGGTTCCAGCGACAGCTTCTGCTCGCACACCATTCAGACCCTGGATTGAAGAGACTCCTGCGAGTCCGGATACTCAGCAGCATCCTTCAGAGATGCCGATCCCTGGCCCACCTCCAGTTTCACGTGAACCCATTCTGAAGGACAACGTGCAGCAGCCCGAGCCCGAGCACCCCGAGCAGCAGCCTCAGCCCGAGCAGCAGCCCAAGCCCGAGGAGCCTGAACAGCAGCCCGAGCAGCCTCAGCCCCTGGAGATCTTGAGCGGAAGCGGGGCAAGCGAGGAGCCTCTGTGGTTGCCTATGTGGGTGTTTTCAGAAGTGACGGTGGGTCGAGTGAGGATGGCTAGCGGCGGCGAAGGCACGCTTCCCCGCGCACGATCCCGCGCGGCAGCCCCAAGGTGCGCGATACCT